TTTTTAAAGTTAACTTCACACTCAGATGGCAAATAGGTAAAACACAACTTACTGTAACTAGATTTTTCTGTAATACCATTTCTTTTATATATATATATATATGGAATATATATTTAGATAATGAGTATTTACAGAGGCAAAAATTACTTCAACTCTTAATATACCTGTTACTGGGGCTTGCATTCATCTGGTGCTGTTGCAAATAGTTGCAACAACTGGATCTGTCTGAGCGAGGTCTTGTAAGGGAATGACAATTCTCAGAGTTTCAGAATATCTAAACACCTATTTGTTTAATTGTGTTCTCAAAGACCTAGGTTTTCTTTGGAAAGAAGATAAATTAACTTTCCTCTTAGTCCAGTTGTGGGTATGCAGCTGGTTGGAGTATTAAGGTTGATGGGGCGTGGTGGTACAAGAAGATGGGGACCAAACCTCTGGCTGGTGTCCCTCAGTCCTGCTCCTGCATCTCTGGTGGATTTTTTTTTATTTTCCCCTTGCTTGACACCAGCAGGGAATGGGGCCAGTGATCCTCTGGCTCGGTGTCAAGGAAGGGCGACAAAAAGCTTGGGATCTGGCTGGGGTTTGTTTGTGAAAGTACACAGTTTTGTAAGAGTTAATTTTCTTTCCGTAATTGTTAGCTGTAATGTGTATAAGACCTCCACCTTGATATGATTCCTAGCAGATTAGGGATATTAGATAATTTCCTTCTATTTATTGTACTACTGCACTGTATTATCTTTCTATCACTCAGATAATTACTAAGGAAATCTACATTAATTTTTTTTGGCTAGCACAAGGAACTGCTAAACACTGGCATGATGTATTGATGTTTTACACAACAAAAGTTTTCCTCCTGTCATTGTACAATAAATAAAAAGATATTTATCAAAATGCAAAGCCTTTCATGGATTTTAAAGAACAAAGCAAATAAAATACAAGATGAGCATGGAAGGAAAACCTAGAGGCTTCCTTAACTGAACAAAATTAAGGACTCTGAAGCCTGGAGTACTGTACATATTAAACACTCACATTCAAGTAAGATGTTGTTTGCTAAATTATGAATGTGTGTAATTAAAATCTAGTGGCTGTTTCTATGAAAGATTTACAATGTTATTTCATCGTTTGTCATGGCTAATTAACAATATTAGATGAAGTTTTTCTTCTTCAAAGGTCTGATTTTTTCTCATTTATTTATGTCAGAAGTGATAAACAGAGTAGTTAAAAGCTTCTCCGGGTACAGTAGTGAGGAAAGCAACATGTTCTTTTACACCTCAAAGGTTCAAGGTTCGCATCCCTGTGGAGTAAAGCAACTCCATCTTCTTTCTAGTGAGAATAATTAAAAATTTCAAAGTGCAGAAGTAGCAGCCTTAAATACAGCACAGAATAATTCCGAACATAACAGAAAGTATTGTGGGGCTTGATGGATGAATAAGAGAGAGTAAGTATAAAATACCAGAAATTAAGCCAGTCGCATTGCCTTAGTAGTTGAGGCAGCCCTTGCATGAGCAAAGAGAGCACAGCACAGGATTGTTTTTTGTTACATCTAAGTGTGATGGGATCGTGTGGTGCAATTCTCTCACACTCTACATGTTCTTTGCCTCAAAAGAATTACCCAGGACTTTAACAGCTGCCAACAGCATTTACTTTACCCACCACTGAAGTGCAGCCACATCTGGGGTAAAAGACAGCCACGTGGACCGGGTGACACGGTAGCGTGGACCAGGAAATGCTGCATACATTTTTAATTGTGAGGGCAGGAGGGATTTAGGTAGGGTGAAAGTAATCGCTGGAGGTGGGGATCGACTGCAGCCCTGCAGTTAGTTCTAGCACCTAAGTGTGCTTTGGGGTCTTTGATGTGGGGTGGTGGGCTCGCTAGCTTGCCTTGATACTGGCTGACTGCGATCAGAAGTCAAAGTGTGTTGAGACAAGGAGCCCTGTAAATCCTTTGCTCTGTATTGACAAATGTGCATTTTTATTTTTTTATTATTTTTTTGTTCTTTTCCAGCCCCAGCAACAGCAGGTGGCTACGCAGCAGTTGGCCTTTCAACAGCAACTCTTACAGATGCAGCAGTTGCAACAGCAGCACCTCCTGTCTCTGCAGCGTCAGGGGCTGCTAACGATCCAGCCTGGCCAGCCTACTCTGCCTTTGCAACCCCTTGCACAAGGTAGGTGAGGGGTTTGGGAGCTGCCGACTCTCTGGCAAAGCGATAGCATGCATGCACACACACATGAAATTGTCACTCAGTAAGAGAGAGAGAGGGAGGGAGAGAGATCTCATAGGCTTATAAAATAATAAGCACAGAAAAATCCTGACAGGCAGGGTAGGCATTATAAAGATATTTTTTGAGAAGGACGATGCTGAAACCATGGACTGCACTGGCTAGCAGGAGGCAGGAGGGTTGGAGTTTGGATTCAATTTGCACAGCTATAGCTGGTCTGGAGGACTCGAAGCTGCTGGTTGTACTAATCTGAGCTTGAAATCCTTTGCAGGAGGCGTCTTAATCGATTCTTGGTGCTGGATTCATGGCTAAGGATAGTGTGAGAGCAGCTTTTCCTTTTTTAATGTGTTATTTGGGCCCTTTCTGGTTCCAGCCTGGCGAGGAGCCGGGCGCAGAGGAGCTCTGATCCGCACGCTGCCGAACTGTAGAAATTTGATTGCCCTTTGCTGCAGTGAGAGGGAGAGGTGGCACTGTCTCCTCTCCATGCCTGTTTACACGGTCTTCATTTCACTGCCTGTGTGCATCGTAGCTTCATTCCTCCCTCACCACTGAGGCAAATTGGGATTAACTCTGTTTAATTTTAATGGTGTTATTGACAATTAGATCCTCCTACATCTTTATTCAGTCCTGCACTTTGCAAGAAGTGACTGCTTTACCAAAATCCTTTTTTGTATTTTTTTTTTAAGATACTGATACATTGAAAGCAATGGTGACTTAAATCACAATACTTTTGACAGTGACTATAACCTGAGTTTTTTATTCTCTCTTTTCCTTTCTGGTTTGAATTATTTATATTTTTTTTTTCACTGGGTTTGTCTCCAAGCCTTGGGACTATTTAACAGACTTGCCTGAGCTCTGGCTGCTGTGATTAAGGCAGACTGTTCAAAGTTGACATGACTCAGGGAAGGCCAGGTATTTCAACCATGATGCTGGTGTTTCTGAATAGTCATACCTTTTCTTTCCCTTGCTCCATAATAAATTTAAACATCAACAACTTGAGTCAGCTCAAGTTGGATGATTTGGACTCTTTAAAGCAACCTTAGGGCTGCTACTAGTTGGCTAAACCATATAGTATGTTTACATTCAGCTCTTTTCAGATAAATTTGGACACACACACACAATGTTGCTCCTGTTCTTCACCCTCCTTTTTGTGTGTACATAGCTGGAAAAGGAGGGCGGGGAGTTGGTGAATATTAACTTATATGGATAAACTGAGACAAACTGGGAAGTGGAGTCTGCTTTGCTGTGTGGCTGGTGTGGTTTATTTAGGCTTATTTTTGCAGGCCTCATGAAGGTATTTGAGCTCCTAACTCCTGTCTTGAGAGGCTGAGCTTTTGAGGACCTGACACCTCCCTTTGCAAGACTCAGTCTATCTTTCCAGCATCCCAAAGCTGGACACCTGGTCTAGACTAGTCCTGTGTGTGAGTCAGAGGCTGATGCGTGGGCAGGTGGTACCTGGCTGGGAGCTGCAGGATCAGGGCTGGTGCTTGGTCAGGCACCACGACGTGCAGTGTGATGGGAAGAAGGCATGAAACGAGCCCAGGAAAAAGGGCATGTAGGCGAAATGCCATTTATGCTTGCAAAATGCTGTAATGTGCATTAATTACGCTTCAGATTTATTGTTGGAAGCATCCCAGGTTGTTCCCACACACCCACCGGACTCAAGCTTCAACCTTTCTAATTTTTCCCACAGCTCCTATACTATTAAGTTGGCTCGGTGAGGTTCATTGTATAGTACATCAGTTAAGCTGTCCAAAGGAGGGCAATTGGGCAGTGACAAGACACGCTCATGTGTAATGTGAAAGAAATGAATGTGGTGATGCATGAAGTGTAATCTGTGCGGTAACACATCGGAGACACCAGTAGGTAATTCAGCAGTCGTGGCATTGATTGATATGGTTAGCAGGGTAGTGTAACTATTAGTCCTCACCAAGAAGCGTATTTAAAACCTAAGGGGTGCCGACTTGCACGCCGGAGACAACATAAACATAAGCAGAAAGGGCTGGTTCTTGCAGGGAAATGAGCTGCGAGCATTGGGGGTGGCTGGAGCTGGGGGCTGAGCGGCGGGAGGAACGAGTAGCTTGAGAATTCAGGCAGGTTGCAATACAGCACAATATTTTATTATTATATTTTTTTTTATCAGAGAGATGATGGCTTAAAACTGATGTCATTATGAGGTTTAAATCAACTTTCTGCTTGCTTGAACATGGTCACCTGGGTATGGAGGTACAAGGACACAAAGAGGTTGAGCAACTCTGTTTGTCTTTGAGCCGGGGATACCTGGGGTTGGGAAATTGAGTTCTGTGAGCAGTAATCTGTCAACTGTCCCCACAACATACATTTTTTAAACCTGTGCCTACATTTTCTTTCATAATGAAGAGGACTAGTTGTCCTGAAAAATGCAATGAAGTACCAGGGCTATAGTTTAAAATAATTGGTAATGGACACTTCGTATTTTAAAAAAAATTACATATATCATGCCCTTTTGTTTTCAGAACAGTTTGCAAGACTGAGACAAGTAATGGAAATGTGCATATAAAAAATAAAAAATAAAAATCATCCCTCTAGTAAATGTCGCTATGAATTTGGTTAAAAGCATTTTGCTTTTATTCTTAAGTACCTGTAATAGTAATAAATGTTTCTAAGGAGAGAATGCTATAAGTGATATTTTTATTATGTTTTCAGAACTAATACATTGTTTAAAGCTGTATTTTAGTTTCATTTTAGTTCGTAGTGTTTGCCTATTGTCTTAGACAAAATAGCACATCCTTTAATGTTATATTTGTGTAATCTTTGCTGCTTTGTATTTAGACACATCTATAATCTAGATTTTACATCTGTACATAGTAGCAATTTAAAAATAACCCACATTTCAGCGATGTTCTGAGTTATGAGAGCTAGATGTTTAGCATCTGCAAAATGAAACTGCAAATCACACTTCAGATCACCAGTGAGTGAAAATAATAGGACTGAGACATCTGGGTGCCTGATTGCTCCCGTAGATTTGGCAGTTTCGGGTCTAAATCCCGTTCCTGTGCGTACGAAGTCGCAGCACCGGCAGTAGCGATCTCGGGTAATTGCAGCGCAGTTCTGGGAATCTGACTTAAAATTTAGCTCTCGCTGTTAAGATGAAACTGTTAAATGGTAAATTACATAATTTATTGCGAGTGTTCATGGATCTATTTGACTTACTTTTACCATTTGTTCTATTATTTTATTTAACCATTTTGCCGGATGAGTAATGAGCATACCTTTCAGCTGCCCGGTTTGACAGGCTAGTTGGGAATTCTCTTCAGAATTATTCTAAAAGAACTAAATTTGGTGAAGGAGGAGGAAGGGGTTTTTTAAATTTTATTTTATTAATCAAGTGATGTCAACACTGTCATTTTTAAGCGATGGGTAGTGTGCAGACAATTATGACATCACACTTAACTGTTTAATGTCACCCAGCCTGAAATCCTCCTTATTATCTCCAGCATTTTTGGGGGGTAGATTTTATTTTTCTTTCAATAATGTGGTATATAGTTATTGTTAGTACTAATCTGAGTCACACTTGTATAGGAAGTTAGACCAAACCCCTTGACTTTTAGAGGATCTACAGCAAGGTATAAATATTATGTGTATATATATTTTAATGGCTGTAACACTTGCAAGCTTTTCCTTGGTGTAAAACATTAAATAGATGCAGAAGTGACCAGGAGGAGAGGGGAAAGGGGGACAGGGAGAGGAGAGTTGGGTGCTAGCCTGTCTGTTAATTAAAAACCTGCAGAAATCCAGATAGGGGGGTGGTGGCAAAAAAGAAGAAAAAAAAAAAAAAGAAAGAAAAAAAAGGGAAGGGGGGGA